ACTGGACAACTCACTCACTTGAAGAGGAGATGCAGCGCTCACTTGAAGAGGAGATTCAGCGCTCACTTGAAGAGGAGATTCAGCGCTCACTTGAAGAGGAGATTCAGCGCTCACTTGAAGAGGAGATTCAGCGCTCACTTGAAGAGGAGATTCAGCGCTCACTTGAAGAGGAGATTCAGCGCTCACTTGAAGAGGAGATTCAGCGCTCACTTGAAGAGGAGATTCAGCGCTCACTTGAAGAGGAGATTCAGCGCTCACTTGAAGAGGAGATGCAGCGCTCACTTGAAGAGGAGATGCAGCGCTCACTTGAAGAGGAGATGCAGCGCTCACTTGAAGAGGAGATTCAGCGCTCACTTGAAGAGGAGATTCAGCGCTCACTTGAAGAGGAGATTCAGCGCTCACTTGAAGAGGAGATTCAGTGCTCACTTGACTCGATTTGGACCTGGACACACTTGACTCACTTGATTTGGACCAGGACACACTTGACTCACTTGATTTGGACCAGGACACACTTGACTCACTTGATTTGGACCTGGACACACTTGACTCACTTGATTTGGACCTGGACACACTTGACTCACTTGACTCGGCCGTTGACTCACTTGACTCGGCCGTTGACTCACTTGACTCGGCCGTTGACTCACTTGACTCGGCCGTTGACTCACTTGACTCGGCCGTTGACTCACTTGACTCGGCCGTTGACTCACTTGACTCGGCTGGCACGCGCTCAGTGGAAAACTCTTGAGGCAGGAATGCAACGGAGCTCACGTGAATCGCGAGTTCGGCTGGGCTGACGTGAAGCGCGGGCTCGGCTGGGCTGACGTGAATCGCGGGCTCGTCAATGCGCACGTGAAGCGCGGGCTCATCGTGACTGACGTGAACCAGCGGTGAAGACGACGAGGGCTTCGCGGGTAAAGTACACTCGGCAGGTGTCGAGTAGAATAAGCGCGCAGTAGTGAAGAGGTCCTGCAAGTAACGAGCCCGAGCGACATACCCGTCAAGAGTCCAGTTGGCAAGGTCCCGCGGCATCCATCGAGCGATCTCATAATCCAGCCCATTCAGAAACAGGCCCATGAGCTGGATATCATCTAGCGCTCCCAGACTGCTAATGGACAGGAACTCCTTCGCGTACCTTTGGACAGACTGGCCCTCTTGCAAGACCGACGACAGGTATTCTGTCATAGCCCGGTTGCTGACGACTGCTGGACCCATATTGAGGTTGGTTGTTCTCTGACGCTGTGCGGAGAAACAGAGCTGAGGCTGGGTCCAAACGCAGTGTAGCTTTATTAAAGAAACTTAAAACAAGACACTAGAAGCAAGAAACTTGAGAGCACCAACGCAACACACATAAATTCAACAACCAACAAAGACAGGGCAGAAACACAGGGCTTAAATAATCAATGACAAACGAGCTAGACAAGATAACAAGGGGGCGTGAGAAATGAGAAACACCTGGGATAAATAATGGACGGGCAATAACTAATAACGAAAACACACAAAATCACTACGTGACACAAGCATGTGTGTGTGTATTTATATATATATAAAATAATTATACACAGTGCACCCACATATATTATGTAAACACTAACTTTTATTTTGGATGCGATTAATCACGATTAATATATATATATATATATATATATTGTGTTACTGTTTACTGTACCAAAACTAAATTCTAGTAAAATGCATTTCTCTTGACGTTATTACAGTAATCCAAGAAGGACAAAGGAGGAGTGGTAATGCTTCTTATGTATTTTAATGCAATGCAGGAGAACCGGATAAAGCAGCAGAAGGCAGTGCTGGAAAAAGAGAAGGAGACGGCCGATAAAATTGCTGCAAGAGCATTTGCTCAACAGTATTTGTCTGACTTGTTGCCCTCAGTCTATTCCAATCTGAGGGATTGTGGGTACTTCTATGACCCTGTGCAGAGAGGCAAGTGCATGAAAAACAGAAAAACTGAATTCATCTCTGTATTAGTTCATCTCTAGATCTTTACTGAATAATACATGAATTGCCATTATACTGTCTATGAAAGTTCATTATCTCTGCTCCAGATATCGAGACCGAATTCCTCCCTTGGCTAATGGATGAAGTCAGCAATACTTTAGAACAGAGATATGTAGCAAGAATGGTGCTTGACAGTGAGTCATTTTTGTATTACATTTTTTACATAACACTGACTTTGGGATTAATCTATCACATCTGTTGTTGTCTTGTTGAGATCCATTAGGCAGCGATAAGTATTTTGTGCATAATTTGGATTTCTTGTTTTTCCACAGTGCTCATTCAAGATGTCACTAACCAAAGATCTGAGGCCTTTCAGGTGAAAGAATAAACTATTTCCATTAGAGGAATACAGGATGAAACATTTAATCACTCTTACACATTTGTCAAATTAAAATCTGTTTATGTAATGTCAGTTTAATTAAATCGTTGAGGTGAAGAATTAACCTTATAGTCTCATTTCAGGTCATACCAGGGAACCAGAAAGATGATGGAAAATATTAAAGGGTTCACGCATTCTTTATAAAAATCGTGTCATTATAAATATATTATTCATATATTATTTGAATCAAATTGCTAAAAAGATGCAAATCTGTCACTACACTGTCGCTTCAAGAACAACACTGTAGGAGGCGCTGCGGAGTAACAATACTGCTCATCACTCAAACTATTATTGCTGTAATGCGAGTGTATTAAATTGGAAACTTGTAATCGACTCTCGTTTATATTTAGAGTTTGTAAAAGCAGCATTATTTGAAGAATATATTAATGTCTCGTTTTCATGTCCTCCCCAAATGTGATATATGTTGTACCTAGAAGCTGTTTTCAAAAGGATTTGCCATGATACTGTACTGAGATGATATCAGTCCTCGTAAACTTGATTAAAAAAAAAAAAAATTACAGAGGAATGACTACTTCATACTTTCCGTCTACCTGTCTGGCCTGGTCCTTTGCTTAAACACCGTGACTTGAACTGTTGGACGGTTCCGCTTCAGCTTTCATTCACCTAGCCTATATACCGCTCTATTTTAATCCTGCTTCTCCATTGGTCAACTCCCACCTACGGCCACGCCCACAAGGTGCTCCTCCTGAGTTTCACTTCCGTCGGTGCAGCTCTGGCAACACAAACAGAAACAGGCGTGTTGATGTAAATACATCGTTAAGGAAAGACCTCTGAGTCACATCACAGTGTACTTACTTATTCAGACCTATACCGACGTAAATGTTTGAATGACATAATTACTATTGTACATCATTCAAACATATGAAGTTTCATTACAAAGTAAACACGAAATAAAAGCTGAATGTACTCTAGACCTTGAATGGGCAAAAGCGCCATCTATTCTTGACCAAACAGTTTTGTATTGAACTCCCTCTCTCTTTCTCTCTCTCCCTCAGATAAGCGATTACCCTTAATAATTAAACAGTTTGCAGTCGTCATGTGAATGAAAGTGCTAAGCTTTTTCTCATGTTACGCATACATTTTTTTATATTGTGAAATGTCCAAGTACAGGTGCAGCAATGACTAAAACATTGCCTCATTCTTTCACGTTTAGATGTTCCTGCAGGCAGTAGTTATGCAATGACGGCTCTATCTAGAATCACTGATCAAATTACCTGTTTATCATTTCTTGGGGTTAAGTGGGGAACATACACGTTTATTTAGGTAGCCTCTTTAAATGATGACGTACTACACAACTTTATTTTGTCAGATTTTGTTTTATCTTTAACTTAATCTCTAAAGTATACAGTAAGCACACACTCGTATATCATATCTCTGTCAGACAAGCAATACTGTTATATTTTGTATTTGAATAGGTCATGGATCAAATAATATAGTCAGTGACAGTCAAGTTGTTGTTTTTTGTTTGTTTTTATTTATTTTTTCATCTGTCCTATAGCACATGAAATTTGAGTATGAGAGTATAACACACATTTTTTTAAATTTGTGCTCAACATGCTCTGATTGGGTAAAGTGAAGTGTGTGGGTAGCATGGTACAGTAAAAAAAAACAAAAACAACAACAAAAAAAAACACTATATATTATGGGGACAAAATGTCCCCACGAAAATGTCAATATCCGAAAATATTTGTCCCTGTAGGTACATTGTTTGGTCCCGTTGAAGAAGTGTTTTTTTTTTTTTTTTGAAATGTAAAAATGCAGAAAGTTTTCTGTGATGGGTACTGTAGGTTTAGGGGTAGGGTTAGGGTATAGAATAAACAGTTTGTACAGTACCGTGTAAATATCATCATGTCGATGGAAAGTCCCCATAAAACACAAACGTGTGTGAATATGTGTTTGTTCATGGCGTAGGCTATATAGTAATATGTTGTATGACACATTGTTATTAAACTGATGACACTATCTTCAAAATATATAAAAACTGTATTTCCAGAAAGGCACACCATAGTAGGGGATACATCTATTGATGTCTGTAATATCTCAAATTGCTCCGTTCCTGTATTTTATGTCACACACATGCATTGTACTGACAGATAAATAGCCTTTTCTAACTTTTTTTCCAACATAAATACATTTGTTGAAGCATTCTGGGTTTTCAGGTTTATTATGTATGTGTTTGAAAATGGCCTTCATAGACAGTAAAGAAAACATCACAACCACTCAAAAGATGTTTACAGTAAGCTACATTTACTACTAAGATGAGGAATTTACACTACCGGATAAAGGGAAACCATATTCATTGACACCAATGTTAGAGATTTGTAAATAAATAAAAAAAAAAAAAAAAAAAAAAAAGCTATCGAACAGTCCCACATTGTACCACTTTAATGCTAGCTCTTTCTGAATGATGCACTTCCGTTTGCAGGGCACCTGTCCTACTATTACTGCACATTATTCTGTATTTGAAATCATTTTCCAAGTAAACTTCAGTCATTCAGCTATCTTCTATGATGTGAAAGGCTTTGAAGCCACACTTGAGCAGGGCGCTACTCGTCGTCTCCTCCGTTGGCGTTGTGGGCGTCGCGCGCGTGTCTCAAACAGGAACTAGAGTCGCTGACTGTCATTCAGCCGCGCGCACAAAGGTGAGCGCACCGTCAGCCATATTACCAGCGCCGGACTGTGCTCATTTCCTCGGAGGGAGGGGAATTATCGGCCGAAGCTGGACTGAATTTACTCGCTAGCTCTGGTAAGACATGCTCCTATCGATTATCGCATGGGTCAAAGACCACAACACAGTTATTGCGTCTATCATTCATTCCCTTGTCATTGTATGACGCCGCCCAGTTCAAAGAGAAATCTCTACCAACAGGTGCTGCTCTGATAATGGGACAGTCTGTATCATACCATAAAGATGGGCTGTTTATAAGTCAAGAAAAGGGGGGGACAAAGCGTCCCTCTTTTAAAGATGAGCAGCGTTAGGTTACCATGAGGATAAATAAGCTAACTTATGTGCACATTTTTGTTTAACGTTAGATAGCCCAGTGAGTGATATGTTTGGGAAACGTAAAACGCGCGGTTTTTACTTCAGTTAAGTAAAATATCGAAATCAGCTTTTCATTATCAGATTTTCATTACCCTCGATTCCGTTAACGCTTATAACATGCTTTTCTGTGCCGGTGTAATCGGAACACCGTAACGTTACTAACTGTGTTTCCTGCACTATCCAACGTCAGTCTTTGGTGAAACCATTGGTGTAATTTGAATCCCGAACGAACGACTCATGAGCCAGTTCCTTTCAATGAATCCAAAACAAACCTCCAGCCCGAGAAGTGCAGTCAGGTTACCAAATGAATGACTCTGACTGAGGTGGTTATTTTTAGTGATTCAATAAATAACTTGCACTGCATTGCTGCCCGGAAATAATATTCTCATTTACAGGATCTCTATTAGTGCATGATTCATGAAAATAAACACATGAATCAGTCGGAGGTGTTACTGAATTAATCCGACTCACTTTACTGATAGCCTATTGCTTTCGTCATGTCCGACTTGTGAACCGAAACTGTTAGGCTAGTGTGCTATGTTACAGCCGACAGAATGGTTGTTAAAGGGATAGGTCACCCAAAAATGAAAATTTCCAAAACATGTATGAGTTTCTTCTGTTGAAGTTATTTTGAAGAATGTTGCTAACCACAGACAGTTGATGGACCCCATTGACTTCCATAGTTTTTTCTTACACTGGGTTCCATCAACTGTCTGGTTACCAACATTCTTGAAATAATTTTTTTTTGTATTCAACAGAAAAAAAATAAATTCCTACAGGTTTGGAACAACTTGAGGGCGAGTAAACGATGACAGAAATGTCATTTTTGAGTGAGCTGCACCTTTAAGAATCCTCTCCCACACTAGGCAAGGCAAGGCAAGGCAAGTTTATTTATATAGCACATTTCATACACAATGGCAATTCAAAGTGCTTTACATAGAAGAAATTAAAATAATCCAAAAAAGAAATCAGAATAATTATAACAGTTTAGAATAAAAAATAAGAAATAATGAAAAATAAAAATTATGATAAAAATAAAATACAGTAAATTAAAACCATTTAGAATAAAATGAAGTGCAGTAACAGTCGGACGAACAGTGGCACAGTGCTCATTCAGTAAATGCACAGCTAAACAGATGTGTTTTGAGTATAAAGTATAAAGAACATGTTGTGCAATTAAAATGTTCCATGGATGTTAAATGTTTTTCATGAAACAATACATTCCAGTAAATAACCTTTATTTATTTTAAAGTGTATATGTATAATAAGGAGTACGGTATACAATTTATTTGATTTGCTATAGCCTCTAATCTTTACTTGTTGAGCATAATATATGATATTAGAGAGACATCTGAGGGCAGCTAATGCTATATATATATATATATTTTGCTTGCTTGACTCTGGTACCGCTACATTTTATAACTGAATATTTGGCTGCACTCCCTGTCAAGGGTTGATCTTTGGGAAACAGAGACTGGAGCAAATATTTGCAGAATGGGGTGGGGACTTTAAGGCAGGCGCCGGTGTTACCTCTTTTGGGTGAGGCTGTCACAATCTTGAGTTCCAGTTTTTTAATCGTGATTCATTTGGCTGTATGGTGTGCGTCAGGGTTTATTCTCACCCATGTTTAAATGACAGACAAGCCGTTTGTGAGTCATTCTCACTAGCGCTGCTCAAACGCGTTCCTCTTCTTTCTGCTTCAGAGGGAGAGGCTCCGTGGAAACTCACTTTACTCTGAATCTTTGACGGGATCTACAACAGGACTCAAAATGCCTAAACCTGTAAGTATTCTTCAAGTTTTATTCTTATTGGTAAAATGTTTGTTGTATAGAAGGTCTGAGTGTTTGTTCAGTGTTTTGAAATGTTCTGAACCATTTCTTTCATGATAGAAAACAAAAAAAGAAAAGGAAAAAAAGAACAGAAAGCTTGTGTATCTTGACTTCAACTTAACATGGAATGAAAGTTTAGTTCTTAAACATTATATGTTCAAACCGTTGTAGTTTCTAAATCTTTAACTTTATGCAAATTCTGGCATTGCGTCTCACTGACAGTTACTTCTTAGATGCATTTGTTTTTCAAGGCATAGTTTATAAGGCTTTTGGATTACCTATTCCTGTTTTTGGCTTGTTTATCTTTAACAAAATTGTAATCCAGAGAATGTGTGACTTGTGTAAGCCTAGTTAAAATGTTGGAAACAAACTTCTCATTGAATTTGCTTATGAACACTGAAAACGGCAAGTGCAGCTTCAAGCATGTCAGTTTGTTTAAGATAGTAACAGCGTCGTCAGGAAGCCTACAGAGGAAATGACCTCATCATGCTGCTTCTCATTCATTCCTGGCCCTCAGCACTGCCTACCGAGACACTGTATACAAAAACGCTTGTTCTTAGGTGCCATGGTCCGTTTGGATTGGGTTCAAAAGAGTCAAGATTCAGTCATTTAGATGCTTTTAAATCAAGATGGGCTACCAGTAATGATTATCTGATAAAATGATTACACATTTGATTGGATTTTTCTCTGAAACCCCCTATAAAGAGAGTTTTCTATATTACGTCTTAATATTTCACCTCCTCTTTCAGATGCGTCTATAATAAGCACTTTCAGCAGCTGAGGGTGTTTCCTCTCAAATCTTTGTTCTCATTTGTTCTATTGAATAATTGATAACCGACAATGCCTCTGTCACGCCCTTTGGTGATGTAGTACAAAAGCACATTGTGCTGTAATCAATGTGCTCGTGTTTTCTCTGGCTTTAGCTCATACCAGCTCAACGGAAGACTAACAGAGCCATCCAAATCGGGACTTCAGGCTAAAACCAGTTCAAAGGAAAAATAAGTACATGGTCCCTTTACTTTGTGTCCCCTTTTATAGTACATGAAGGCGACATTTCAAATGAAGCTGATTGGAATTTCTTTTAACTCAAATTGGGCCTAGCGCAATGCGGCGCAAGCTAGTTTCAGCCTGACGCAGTTATCATTTTCACGCCCCACGTTGTTTAAATAGCAAACGCGTTTGCACACATTTGTGCGCTCATGGGTGTGCTGGTCTGAAAACGAGGTGTGTTCTAGCGCATTGTTGGTGCGTTCCTATTTTGAGGCGACTGAAATGGACTGCGCTATTGACTAACAAAAACCCTGGTCTAAAGTCAGTGCCACATTAGTTTATTTTTTGTTATTTAAAGGGTACATTTGAGCCTATATGTGGGTGCACAATGCACAGGGATGCGCAGCATCACACAAACATGCCAAATATTCAAAATAAAAGGATTACAATGTAAAAGATAAATATTGTCTACATAAAGATATGGAATCCGGCTTGTCCCGTTACCGTAGATGGTCTGCTTGCTAGCTTTAACCTCGCGCGCTTAAGCTGATCTGTTTCCTCGCTAGAGAAGCGTTCAGTCTTTCCGCTTGATAATTCCGCCGTGTAAATAGCGAATCCGCCATGGCGTGAGCGCAACTGCTTTTTAAAGGGGTGATGAATTGGCTTTTTATTTTTTTTCATATTGTTATCTGAGGTCAACTTTTGACGTTCGCTTGGATTTTACATTCAAAAACATCAAAATGAAAAAGTTATTGGCTATTTTGTCCCCTAGTTTTGAGCCTACCTGAAAAACGCTCGTTTTTTTATGGGCGTCTCGCACCGAAGACTTGGAAGTAAACGCCCACTGCTGAGTGGAGAACAGTTTTGCATATTATAATGAGTTTCACTCTCGATCCGGTTTGTCATCACGATGTAGGAATCTATGTTATTTAGCTATGCGTGTAATGCGCAAATCGGTGGGCGGGGCTAAACCGGCCGTGTTGAAGTAGGCGTTGATCTTCTTCTGCGGGGGTGGTGTTTTATCCTCTTTGACGTCATAGTTCCCCACTTTGAAAAACGAGTCGTTTGCTGAGCCTGGTGTCAATGAAAGCTTTTATTGGACTAACAAGGACGTTTTCAGTTCTGAAACTTACAGGATAGTCTTATAATATGATGAGCTCTTAGATGTCAAAAGCTCAAGGAAAATGTAATTTCTCAGTTCATCACCCCTTTAAGGGAATGGGAGATGAGACTCTGATTGGTATATGGCACGTTGAGCCCAAACACACCCATTACTCATGAAGAGAATAGGGACAACCCTTTTAGACCATGCACCGACCATTTTTCCCGTCGTTAAACCAGCAACATTGTATTTGGGACTCTAAGTGCACTTGCGCTTTACACCATGCACTATAATAGGGCCCATTATGATTACAGGGGTGATTACGCTTCATAAAGACTTATGAACTTATGAACTTTTACCATAGTTCATTTTAAAACTAATACATTTACAAAAAATGTATGTTTGCATATTTATGTCTTGAATAGTAAACTTCCTTGATCGTTCCCCTAGTACAGCATTGCTTTTGTGATGCTAAGCGCTCAGGAATGAGTCCTGTGAAACACCTTGTTAAAAGAGCTCAATAATTTTACATGGAAGCTAAAATGACATGGTTTCTTCAGCAAATGCGTTATCTCACATTTGCTTATAATAGGGCTGCTGGATTATGGCAAATCTATAGTCATGATTATTTTGGTAATCGAACGTCGTGCTGAGTGATCTGAACTGTATGAAGTTCAACGAACTTCTGAACTGTATGAACAGCGTTCGGGGATCGACTTATCGAGACTATTTTTTAAGATGGCGCCTGTCTTCATAAAGTATCTTCTTATTAAACGGTCTGTACACTTACAAAGTTCTCAATGCTTCGTTTTGCATGTATGGACCCTCATTATGTTACTGTGTTAGTGTGGGGCTATTTTGAGCCTTGTTAGTGATATAAACTAGCGATTTCTTTTTACTTAGTCAATGCCCCCATTACTAGCATTATACGCTAAACAGTTTTTAGAGATAAAGCTTTACATTCGATTATCATGAAAACAAATCTCAGAGAACGATTGACTAGGTACCGATGTTTTATTAGACCAAAGGTTCATTGTTCGCCGGAGTTCTCCTTTAATAACATGGCAGGCATATAATTCCTACAACTGGAGTAACTCAATGAATTAACATTGGCAGAGTACACCACTTGTAGCAACAACAAAAAAAAAAAACCCATAAATTTAAGTCATCATTATGGTGATCGGTGTTTGTTTTAAAATGAGGGTTTTCTCCTTCAGTCATTCTGCTTGTTAACATCAGGTGTCTTCAATCTTGGCAATATAAAATAAAGAGTTCTTTATTTATCTTTGACGTCTGTCTGTTAGTGAGATATTTTTGTTAATTTTTTTGGTGTAAAACTTAACTCATTTTAAATGGTTAACTTTTAAGGAATCATTTGATTAATTATTACTCAATTATAATTCAAGTTTAATTAATAATATTTCTTGTAATCTGTTGCCACAATTCTATTGATTAGATAAAGCATATGCATTTTTACAGTGTAAAGTTACCTAAAGTTGAGCGTTTGGCACCTATATCATACATTTCAATTCCTAACTTCCATGCACATTTTTCAACTGTTGTGCAATGGAAAGGCTCCATGGATGTTAAAGTGTCTTCGTGGAACCAGATGCCAATAAAAAAAAAAAAAAAACTATTTTAAGAGCGTAGCATTATTTGTAGATTAACAGTAAAAGCGTATGTGTGTGGTTATATTTTTCATAAGCATTTATTTTTATGTTTTCAGTCAGACATTTTCCGAGGTTTAAGCCCCTTGTAACGTAGATAATTCGGTCGGATGACGCCTGTCGCCACATGACGCTAGTTGGAACCTGAGATTGGTGACTGTACTTGATTTCGCCAGTCGGCCAGCTGAAACCTTTCTGAGAGCAATGCAGAGAAATGGTGAGACTATTAAAATGCAGCCTGATGCTGGAGGTGGACCACTGAGAGGACGTTTCTGAAAGAGACCCTTTGTTTTGCTGAGTAAATGGATACCCCTCCGTCTCCCCCTCTTTGGCGAGTTGGATGCCAGGGCTTTAAGCTGAACTCTTCACCACTAGATTTCAGATGTACACAGCAGGCCTATGATTCTTGACAGTGGATGGTCTAGATCAAGTTGTGTATTTGTGTTGTTCTTTATGTGTAATTATATATTTTAATGACTTAACACCAACCCTGAATGCCCGTGTGACTTGTGTATGTGAAGCCGCTATCGCAGTGCTGTTTTCAGGAAAGGTCCCAGCAGTCTTCTTAAGCTTGGTACAGGAAGTTCTTTCCGTGTTATAATGCTTGTGGTGTTGATTGTGCTCTGATCAGTCACTTTATATATTTCTATGTTAACTAAATTGATAAATCTATCTTGATATTAATAGTTATGCATTAAGTACATCCTTTTATCCAAAACAGTGTACATATACGAATAATTAGGGGTGTAACAATATATCGTGCCACAATATATCGCAATACAAAAATGCAACAATACGTATCGTGGATAGTTCCCCAAAATAAAAATTACTGTGTGAGAAATTTAGTGTCGGTACTACATTAAACTACTTGGAGAGTATCGCAATAATATCGTATTGTGAGTTCAGTATCTTTATGTATCGAATCATGACATGAGGGTATCGTTATACCCCTACGAACAATACAAGTGCTTCCAGTAGCATGGATTTATGTCTTCTGGGGACGGTTGGGAGTTTGTTCTTCCACTGAAGTTCAGTGAGTGTCTGTAGTTTTGGAAATGGACTGTGATGGGATCATCTGGTTTTATTATCTGAACAATAATGTATATGCTATGAAATGGCTTCTTTTGCATCTAAATGGTTATTACAACCACCAAACAGTCCTTGTTTTCAAGGAAAATCTAAATATATATTTAAGTCATGAGAATTAAACAAAATAAACGTGGTGAAAATAATGCTTTTCAAGGTATGTTTTCTCTCTCTCTTTTTTTGCTAAAAGATCAAAATGAAATGATTCTTAAATATTGTATCATTTTCATTTAAATGCACAAGTAAACATGTATATGCAGGCAATATAATTGTGTTAATTAATAATACCATTTAAATGTAGCACACATAGTTCAGCATTACTTTATTTATTTTAATTTGATATTCCATTGATGAAAGTACGTACTGGTCCTTTTTTTCCATATAATTACATTAAATACTACTTTAAAAATTATACAGAGCACCAAAAAATGATAATAGCAGTCTATATGACTATTCCTTATTCCTGAATCATTCGCTGTCTACAATAATTATGATTGCTTGGAAAAATAAGGGTGTTCTTTTTTTTTTTGTGTTGTGGTAGGAAGTCTTACAACATGAGATGATGACATTACAGAATATACTATTCCTTTTTTCTCACCAGTCTAAAGAGTGGATTCTGTATTGACTGCTCTTAGTTTCGGTCTGAACACTTGTTTGAGTTTCTGTAAAGTTATGACTTTTCGTTGTGGATCATTAGTTTTAAAGCAGTTACATAATTTTTTCTCAGTGACCATTATTTTTCTCAGCTCTCATGGTAATCATATGAAAATAAATCACTGAATCAAATGTACGATCTGAAATGTGCCGAGATGGGTCATGTTGACAATGGTAATTCTTGTCTGTTGGAAACTTCTCTTAGTCCGCTGTTTTCTTTCCTGAGTAAGAACTACATTTAATACTTTCCTCTAGACATGATTTTTTTTTTTTTTTTTTTTCATTTATTGGCTCTCACAAATGGTTCATTGTAGCTTGATTCTGTGAGTCTGTTGTCTTCATTGTGAGGAAACGCCTCTGTTTCATGTTTTTTGAGAAATAACTTAAAAATTACTCTTTGCGATCGCATAAAATGGTGCAAATTTGATTGTAAAGCAGCTTCGGCCTTTTGTTTGTTGACTTTTTCCTGTCAAACATTAACTGTAGAATGGATTGGCATTTCCCCTTTTCAAATAGTGGCTGAGGCGCATTGTTCAGCACAGCCACTTCTGCAGTTTTCCCAGTTTCTTTCAAGCCATGTCTGTTTGGAGAATCCCAGTCAGGGTCATCTGCTTTCTACACAGTCAGACTTCAATATAGATCATGTCTGTCTTTATCAATGGGCCCATTATTGTGATTTATTTTTTTCCCCCACATGGTTATGATGGTCTCATCATCATCAGATGGAACATTTGAAGTTGTAACCGGATTGTTTTTTGTAGATGACCGTTTTCTTCCACTGTTACTGTATTTGAAACACAGATGTCAACAGTAGTTGCTTATGAAATTTCTCTTTTCTCTCTCTCCTTAGGTAAATGTTCGCGTCACTTCGATGGACGCGGAGCTGGAGTTCGCCGTCCAGCCCAGCACAACTGGCAAGCAGCTTTTTGACCAGGTCTGCAACTAAAACGTTACTCAAAACATAACTGCATTAAAGGAGTAGTTCACTTTTATAAAAACTTTTGCTGATAATTTACTCACCCCCATGTCATCCAAGATGTCCATGTCATTCTTTCTTCAGTCAACAAGAAATTAAAGTTTTTGATAAATATTCCAGCATTTTTTCTCCATATAATGGACTTCAATTGCCACCAAACTGTTCAAGGTCCAAATGAGAGTTTCAGTGCAAACTGTTCAAAGGGCTTTAAACGACACCAGTCGATGAATAAGGGTCTTATCAAGCGAAGCGATAAGTTTTATCGTTAAGTTTATCGTTAACCTTAAGTTTTATAAGCACAAATGCTCGCCTTGCTCTGTTCTGTGATGAGTGTTCGTGAATCTCCTGTTCGAACTCATTCATCAAAATGAACAAATCTTTTTCTGAGTCAGTTTGTTCGTTTCGTTCGGTGAATGAACCAAATGACTCTGAAAAAGATTCGTTCATTTTGATGAAGGCGCAAGGCGACCATTTGAGCTTATAAAACTTAAACTTTGTTATTATTTATTTAATGAGTTAATTTTTTATTTTTTTTCACTTGATGAGACCCTTATTCATCGTTTGGAGTCGTTTAAAGCCCTTTGAACAGTGTCTTTCGGACCTTGAACCGTTTGGTGCCCACTGAAGTGCATTATATGGAAAAAAAATGCTGAAATGTTTTCATCAAAAACTTTAATTTCTTGTCGACTGAAGAAAGAATGACATGGACATCTTGGATGACATGGGGGGGGGGAAGTGAACTACTCCTTTAAATACTGAAAGAACTTCAGTGGTTACAAAAAGCTGTCGCAATTTCAGCTCAAACTTGCTTTCTGCCATTTTACTTGAATTTTATTATTGTAACATGAAATGAGAAAATTAGGGATTCACTGAAATATAATATAATTTGAGTTTAGTGAACTCATCGTTATGTTCAGGAAACCAGTTTGAGATGATTTGAGCTTGGTGACGTGTGTTATTTTGCTGGAAGTAGCGATCGGATGATGGGTTCACTGTGGTCATGAAGAGAAGAACATGGTCATCAACAATACTCAGGTAGACTGTGGTGTTTAAATGATGAGCAACTGGTACTAAGAAAATCTCCTCCACACCATTACACCACCACCACCAGCCTGAACTGTTGATACGAGGCAGGATGCATCTATGGTTTTATGTAAAGTCAACTTTATTTATACGGTATAGTGCTTTTTACCACACAGATTGTAAAAATCATTAGTTATGAATTTAGGAGGCGTTGACACGACACAGTTCATCTTTCATTTTGCTAACGCCAAACTCCCTACCATCTGAATTCTTGCTGCAATTTCTTGTTCTTATCTGACACTTATCTATCTAAACTAGTGTGCATGTGAAATCATCCAAAATTTCAACCAATTTAATGTCAACATTGGCTGGTGATATTTCTGTTTACAAATGATGGGATGCGCACAACAAAGATTATACCTTAGACTGGGCTGAGAAACATTTTCGCTGAAAGTACCTCACTAAACATCATGTGCCAAATTCTCTGTTTGTTTAGATTTAAAATCTGAACTAGTACAATTTACTTATGATTGCATTAATGTAATAAATTGCCTGAACTATTCATTTTATAACATCAACAGATAGTAAAGTTCTGTGTTTCAGCAAAAATTTGGCTGCAGTCGATATGTAATATATGAAAAGGAGACTATTTGATTCAGTTCTTACAAGATCAGATTGTGGAACAGACAATGTATACCATATTTCTGCAATCCATCAGTTTAATCCCTCAATGACAGCTTCTCATTCTCCTCCCATAATTCCTCGATTCCTTAAACAAATTCATGTAATGAGAGGAAAAGGTCTGCAAACAGTTATTCAGAGAAATGTTAAAAGGTAAATCAAGAATGCAAATGACATTCACATTTGTTTTCAGTCAAATTCTTGTTCAAAAAAACGAAAAGGTGCTTTGGTAGTACAGCCACAAAAATAACGTTGCTCACGTTTGAATCCAATCTTAAAATGTATAATTTGAATATAAAGTATATCAAACATTAATTTTAAAAATAATGTTTTAAATCATTTATAATTTAAATTGTTTTATATAATAATAGCAAAAACAGTTAAGGACGTCACAGGACAAACTCAGACTTCATTGGGAAAGTGTCTGTCAGTAGCTCCAATGCCTATGACCTAATTTAATTACCAGCTTGGTGACATGGGATAATCCCCTCCAAATAGAAGGTCCCACACACCACGAATGCCTCACAGGGAAGCTTTTTCTTCTTGAAAAATACATATCCCTTAAATCATGACTCATTGACTGTTACACCGATGTGCTCATTAACTGCCACGACTGTGGAAACGGTGAATAAGGGCCGTCCCTCTCGGAGCACACTTGTTTTCCCATGTGGAACAGAACCAGAATCCACTTCAGAGTGTTTTGCTCTTAAAGAGGCAGTCACGAACTGTGGATGAGAGATTTTCACTGAAGCCTATGGGAGTCCAGCTGTCCTTGAGTTCATTCCCTGCAAAATCATGGAACGCGTTAAATAAAATGATGCCCAAAGTCGTTTTCAAATTAATCTTAGCAGGATGTTTAAATTAAATCTACATTGTGTAGCTCTTTTAGTTTATTCTTAGCTAAAAACACTTAGTTCTTTCAAAAATATATGTGCTCATTAATGTGTATTTACTTCGTTCAAGTAATAAAGTATTCTCGTGAGTGTATAATATGCCATTGAAAATACATACGGGTAAGGGGTTCTAATGTCGGTCGCCAGGTTGCCCCTCCATCTTGAAAGTGCATTAGCCAAGTAGGGACATAATTAAGTTAATTCAAGCTTTGCCTTTCGCGTTTACGTTTGAGTTAACACTCATGGACGAGGTCGAACTGGAAGCCATGCTAATCTTGGACTGCATTGGCCACTGTAGGAGTTAAAACGAAATCGGAATTGAGAGGAACAGAAACTAATATTCAATGGATGGATGTTCATATATCTTTTCACCACTAGATGGGGGGGAAAAAAAAATCACACAGTGTAGATTTAAATAAAGCCTTTTCTAGTTCTTGACGTTCTCTAGCTTCAGGCCCCGTCCACACTACTGTGAGTTTGTTTAAAAACGGGCCTCCCGCCCGGACTAAAACGAAGACCTGAAACTGAGAAGTTTATAAACGCTGCAGCTCCGTTTTGCATTTTGAATCTCCGTAGGGCGTTTTAGTGAAGACGGGACAAACCGGAGTTTAGAAACGATGACGTAGAGGCTCACGCTCTGCGCTATGATTGGGTGTCATCAGTCATTACGTGTCCTTCCCTGATTCGTCAGCCACCGTTTACACTGGTACTTTAGTCGTTTTAATGTGGACCACATGCCCAGTGTTGGTGAATGGTCATGTGATCCGCGTTTTTAGTCGTTTTTAATGTGGACCACATGCCCAGTGTTGGTGAATGGTCATGTGATCCGCGTTTTTAGTCGTTTTAATGTGGACCACATGCCCAGTGTTGGTGAATGGTCATGTGATCCGCGTGTTTAGTCGTTTTAATGTGGACCACATGCCCAGTGTTGGTGAATGGTCATGTGATCCGCGTTTTTAGTCGTTTTAATGTGGACTGAGGTCAATTCTAATACACAGATAAAACGCTGGTGTGGACGGAGATCGTATACGTTTAATTCTCCGTTTTTAAACGAAAATAGAAATTCTTCTTCTTATTGGGTTGAAGCATGCATATGGTTTTGCTAGTTTTCTGTCTTTACTGATTAAAAATGTATTCTATGAAGCAATTGTTCTGCAGTTGTTGTTTTTTTCTTTCACTTTACTTACTTGGCTTTGTCATTGGCTTCGAGTTGATTAGAAGAACTTGTTGAGCTGGTTTACAACATTTCTGTTTTGTCCATCACCGGTTTGGATCTTTCTTTTTTTTTTTTTTTCTTTCTGCGATTTGGCATGATTGTGAATGGGTATATAAGGCTATAGAAAGTCTGCTTGGTTGAATGAAAATCTATTGTTGAAATGTTGTTTTGATCAAACGCAGATATGTAAAACATTTGCTTTGATTTGGTTTCTGTTATAGTTTTTTACTATAATTTGTCCCATTTAAGTTGTCTTCTGCTACATCCCCAATACATGCTAAAAACGGTTGTTCATAAACGCTTCGTTTGATTACTAGACTGAAGTTTACAGATGGTACGTGTTCTGTTAATGGCTTTGTGGATATAGAGAGCTCAAGGCATTGTTGAAGTTTCCTGTTGAGCTTTATTTGTGTTAAGTTAGTTCTGTCAAAAATGTTTCAAAAGTTTTCAACGTGGTGTCAGTGTTGAAAATGCAATGTGTAGATGATCTAAACTCCGGTTGGACCAACAGATGATGGGCGCTGCAGCATTAGTCAAAAACCCTAATAAATACCATCGTGCACAAACCCTCTGGGAAATTGTGTACATGCATATAGACCTTTTGAAATCTAAAGTTTTGCCTTCAGGGCCTCTGGTGCTCTATCGCACCCATTCCTGCTAAAGCTAATGAGCGTGGATGAGCTAATGGCCTATTTAGTGATGGGAAGAAGACAAAAATAGTATATTATTCAGTATTTACTCTTAAAATATACTCATTATACTGTTTTTTTGGGAAATTTAAGGATGTGCCAAGTTATATTTCAAAGCACCAAATATACAACTGTCATAAAGCAGCCAACAACCACTTAATAATTCATTCATCCATTTATTGTGTGCTAAAAGGTGTCATTTATTTTTTCCTGACAGGTGGTGAAGACCATTGGGTTACGTGAAATATGGTACTTTGGACTACAATATATGGACAGCAAAGGGTACCTTACGTGGCTGAAACTTGATAAAAAGGTAAGACTGATTGTCAACACAGAATGTGTTTTAATAAACCGCAGGGTTTTCGTTTTCATCCTTGTTAAATTCAATATGGCGTCTCTCCTGACTACAGTCTATTACTTGAGTATGTACTCTCTGGTTTCATAAATGTATTTGAATTACCCTCATGCGTACGTTTCCACTCCACACATGCCTTTAACCTGCTGGACTGACACAGTCAGTAGGTTAAACATTTGAATTATGTGTTTCCTTGTTGTCTTTGAACAGTTAATGCAACACACTTCGAAGGAAAGCGTCAACAGTAGTACAGTACCGAGTACCCGCCAATAGATGCTGCTTCGTGTTTATTTTGAGTGCCCTCTGACCTTCAAAGGTTTCTATTTAGAATATGTTTTTACAAGCGTTGAGCATTTTAGCCAATCACAATCATATCTGTGGAGCATGTGAACGCAATGGCCAATCTGAGATGCTAGTCAGTAAGTTAGTCATAATCTGCTTAAAACAGATATAAAACACGAGCACACTCACAAATCCTTTCAGTACTATCAACAAAGTACAAACATTATGTAATTAAGAGATTTATAGTACAATTAAGACATTTTTTTATTAAAAGGAGTTTTCGCCATAGTACAGAATTCATTGAGTTTACTCTTCAGAGATTGACAGCCATCATTATTATAAATGGAGAGATTCTCTTGGTTTGTTCAATAAGACAAAACAGGACAAAGTTTTGAGTACACATGGTACAGAGAACTACAAAATTGTTCTGGTAGTATTGACTACTGAAATTATTGTACCGTGACAACCCTATTTTGGATTATGTTTCAGTCTGCTTGTTTTTTATGAATTATAGGAATAAGTATTATGTTTGTTCCAAAATGTAAGCATCAGCGGCGGCTGATTTTGTGCTTTAACATATGCGGTAACAGACCTGTGGCTTTGCAGACAATCTCCCTTTAATATTTTCTTTAATAGAAATTACTAATAAGTATTTACTTGAGTTTTTCATCATGAAATCTAATCTGAGTAACTAATTGCAATCTAGTATAAGAGGATGCATTGTCATCCACATAGTAACACACAATACCCAAAACTGAACCCAAACCCTGACGTGTAACTAAAAGCTACTTGATTAAATCTGACTGAATGCGGGTGACTTAATACCAGCTGTTTTTGACTTGGTGATATGGCCACCATAATAAATATGCACCACTAAATGTGTGCAGTGTGAAAACTTAGACCAGTACAACAATCAATTATGAAAACGGTACTTAAATTGTACCTAAAAAATTGATTTTTAAAATTAAGTGACTCTGTATATTTCTGGTCATAGTTATCCAGTAAAATCAGTGTGCTAGAAGTACTGTTATTCTAAAAAGGTGTGAAAATATTTGAGCAAATGCGGGTCATAAATTAGATTTTAACCACCATAAATCAGGAGCAGTAAAAAACGAAGAAAAAGGGAGATTTTTTTTAGAAGAAACTTGTTTGCCTTCATTCCTCTCATAAACACCTCACAGATCAGAGCTCAAATTCAGAGAGAGAGAGAACTTGTTTAACCCTGAACTGAAGTTAAAGAGAATATTTAAGGGCTTGCTGTGTTTTACCTCCAGAATAAAATCTGGATGGTTCACATTTGAAAATGAATTAAGAAAGCCATAAATATTACATTTTGTAATTTTACAGTTATACTGTAATACAATTGGTAACGATTTAGTATTGGCGACGCTTTTTAAGTTCATGATAGCCCAAGTCCATTATTAAAATCAAAAATTGGATCCGTTAATATTTAATGTATTTAACATTTAATTAAAATCAATAAATGATTTAGAATCATTTTTCATTCTTAGTTTGTCTTAACTAAGGTAGTTAACTAATTACAGGGAAATATTACAATAGTAATACACACACACACACAACCGAGAGCTTCTTTTTTTTTTTTTTATCACATTCTAAATCACTTTTTATTTCAGGGAACATTTCATCCCCCCACATTCCCCAAAATTCTGCACCTCGCTCTCACACAGACTCACAAAGAAAAAAAAAAAGTGCTGTTTTACTATATAAGAACACTCTTGCTGCTCGGTCAGTCAGTTTTAAGCACAGATAAATCTGGGCCTGCACGATTTGAAAAAGGCATATTGCGATTATTGAGGTCAATAATGTGATTGTGATATAAGAAATAAATGGTTCTCAAGGAAAATGCACACACAGATTAGTGATAATGCTGACATGTGTATTTCTCAACTTGGTGTTTTCAAATTATTATTATTATTTATTTTTTTATTTTTTTCAAAACTGACATTTTTTGCATTTCTGCAACCTTGTCTCACAGTAGTATGAAATAAATAGAACAATAAATAAGAACAATTTTATGTAAAAAAAAAAAAAAACCATTTAAGAGACATTTAAGCGGGATGTGTATTGTGATTGTCAACATTAGGCAACTAAACATAATTTTGTTAAAGCCAAGTTCACTCTACATGATTTTAAGCCCGATTTGTAAATCGTTGAGCTCGCCAACAGGTCAGGGTGTTATCGCGGGGGATTAGCGGGCGATGAACGCTTGCCAATCTGTTAGTATGAAAGAGCCAACAAAGCATTAAAGACGCTCGCAGACGCGTCGCCAAGCCCAGAAAAATATCTAGCATTCTAGATATGCAGAGCCAGCGCGCGACTCAACCTCAGTGATGTCATGAGCAACAGCCAATCATAGCAAGGCATGGGTTGAGGTAACCGGGTAAATCTTATTTTTTCTTTTTTTGCATTTTTTTTTTTTATCAGAGCAAATCATCGCACGAACAGTTTGCAGCACTAGTTTCTGTCTGACGTCCATATTCGCATGTTGTGTTCGTGCGCACGTGCTGTTTCGCATCATTTCTGGTTCGTTTTATTGCGTGGTTTTTCGTGACAAAACGTGGTTTGTAGACAAGATAGAATCGTTGGGTGATAGAGTTGTTGTCAACTCGTTATTTATTTGATTATTTTCAGGATTTAAATTTTAGACCGTACCATAGTACTGAAACAGCTCTCAAATGATTTGCTCTTATCATCCGATTGTGGTTGTATCTCTATGTAGTGCGTTGTCAACTCGTGTAGTGAGTTACCTCCTGTTGCGGATCAATCACGTTGTGTCGTGTGGCGTGAACAGCTAAACAACTTGAACACTCCTGATTTCACTGAGAGCAAGTCATGTTGTGTGAACCGCACAGTTCAGCCCGACGTTTTAAAATCATATAGTGTGAACAAGGCTTAAGTTTAGGGACAATATGTTACAATGTTTGCATGGTACAATGACTGGTAGGCTACTGTTTTTATTATTGCTTGATCTTGTGATTTGTTTCCGATCTTGATTCAATATCGATTCATTTGGATAAATATTAGTTACAGTAGAGTAGACATTTACAAGCACCAAAACGGTATTGACAGAATCTGAGAGCTGATCATTTGTTTCATATCAAATAACAAATATTTCATATTTCTTATAGACAAAATAGCTCCGTAACAGGTAGATTTATTTATTCATTTATTTTTTAGCCACCAGTTTAATGTCCGTCCGCTCTGTTGGGAAAACCTCACGACATGACCTTTCACGCCACTGCCTAAACTGAAACTGATTGGTGGTCTTTTTATAAGTGGCAAACCGCTCTCGGAGAGAATGGGTTGTCAAGTCCACACATGCATTTATTTATTTACTAAAACCGCAGCATTTTGTGTCATAATCGCATTGGCTTGACATCGCGATTGTGATAACATTGAAATAAGATGTCAGGCTTTTAAAGAATTTGACATTTCTGAATTATTTCCATCAGTGCTTCCATCAAATCCTAACGTATGTAGACAACAAAGGAGAACAATAACTGTAAAAATATAAAATCGGCTGTGGCCTAAATGTGCATATTTGGAGTTGTGATACACTCATGATAGTCAACATTATGAAATCAACTCATTTCTCGCAGGTCTCCGCGCAGGACGTCAAGAAGGAGAACCCCATCCAGTTTAAGTTCCGGGCTAAATTCTTCCCAGAAGATGTGTCGGATGAGTTGATCCAGGAGATCACTCAAAAGCTGTTCTTCATGCAAGTCAAAGATGGCATTCTGAGTGACGAAATCTACTGTCCTCCAGAGACTGCGGTGCTTCTGGCCTCCTATTCAGTGCAGGCCAAATTTGGGGATTTCAACAAGGAATTGCACAGGCCTGGATACCTGACGTCAGATCGCCTCCTGCCCCAACGGTGAGACGCGGAGGTTTCTCATTTGAGTTCTGCTGTCATTTCTCATCAATACTTGGTTTCAGATAGCGAATGAAGCTTTAGAAACAAGTCTCTTGATTGTCCATTTCCACGTCGTGTCCTGCAGGGTTCTAGACCAGCACAAGTTGTCACGGGAACAGTGGGAGGAGAGGATTCAAGTGTGGCATGAGGAACATGGAGGAATGCTCAAGTAAGTTGACTTCCTTGCAAAAGCATCTTGAAAAGAGATTTTAGAGTATTGGGTTTCCACACACACACACACACACCACTCACAGGCTTTTTTCAGTCTCTAGAGAACAGTCAATTGGACAGTCAGGCACATTTATTGACTGATTTCTATTAATTGGCTTGCTTGATAAGTCATTCTATAGGACCAAGTGGTTTGACCATATACGGTATGCCATGCAAAATGATGCAATGATAATGTCAGTTGGTAGAGATTATGTTTTGCCATTTATACCGCAATATGTCTGTGGCGCAATTGCAAAAATTCCAGTGTGACTTCAGTTTGCAATCCGTGTCACAGTGTAGACCGCTATAAACTTGGTATAACTGTCGGTAGTTTATGGTTGATAATGTCTCAACTTTCCATGTTAACATTCAATTCATGACATCCATGATTCAAAAATGTGCAATTCAAATGATTAGCAATTTTACAACATCTAATTTTATACATCCATATAAAAAAGGTAAATAATCATATCAGGATTATTTTAGAATTATTGATGATTTTATTATTTAGTTGCTTTTGTTATTGTTTCAGTTTTTTTTTGTTTGTTTTTTATATTGTAGCTTTCATTTTTATTAATTTTACTTTTGGTAATTTAGTACTTCTGTCAAACGATTAATCGCATCCAGAATAAAAGTTTGTGTTTACATAATATATGCGGGTGCACTGTGTATAAGTATTTTGTATATATAAATATAAATACATACACATGCGTGTATATTTAAGAAAAAAAATTATTTATATATAAAATATTGATATTTATATATAATATAAGTATATATACAGTATATACATGAAAATATTTCTTAAATATATCCAAGCATGGGTGTGTATTTATTTTTTTATATATATATATATATATATAAAATAATTATCCACATTATTACTATATCATAATATGTGTATATTATGATATATTTTTATATTACTATAAAATTATCATAATATGTGTATATTATGATATATTTTTATATTACTATAAAATTATCATAATATGTGTATATTATGATTATACACATAATTATGCACCCATATATATTATGTAAACACAAACTGTTTAAATTTCAATTACTGGATGATCTAATATGTTTAAGGGCCGTTTAAACAAGACTGCTTTCAACTAAAACATTTTATGTATTTTCGCTGTTCATTTACACGACAACAGCGTTTTGGTGGCCTGAAATTGCTAATTTTTGAGAATGATACCGCTATCTTCTCCATGTAAGCTACAAATGGTGAATTTGTGAAAACGGTGACGCATAGCATCTCTTCACAAAATGACATCGCCAACTACTGGCCTGGCATGAATACAGCGTTTTAGTCGTTTTTTCGTGGATAAAAATATTTGAACGGCGATCATTTTGACAACGTTGTCCATAGCAAAAACTTTTCCGTTTTTAGTACATGGTTGTCATGTAAACTACCTTAGTCAACAAAAACAACACAGAATAATATACAAATAATTTAATACTCTGGATTATGGTTATGTAATATATAACATTTTATTTAACGTGTAAAACCCTAGTTATGACTACATTGTGATATACTATTACCATGTTATATCATACTGTGCTAAAAGAGTTTGGTTATATCACCAGCCAGCATTACAAACCGAAACCGATCATCGTGTTGTCCTGTTGTATTTATCCCTAGAGAGGACGCAATGCTTGAGTATTTGAAAATTGCTCAGGATCTGGAAATGTATGGGGTGAACTACTTCGACATCAAGAACAAGAAGGGATCGGAGCTGTGGCTGGGTGTGGATGCCCTGGGCCTAAACATCTATGAGAAAGACGACAAGTGAGTTCAGCCTTTCCCAACATTCATTTGACATTATTCATATCTGAAGTGCCATTTCAACTACACTTCATGTACGTGTTTTCCTCTTCTGTTAAATAATTTCGATTACAAAAAAGCGCTGTATATACTACGAGTACTGTATGGTTACCATAACACGACGGTATTTTGTGGCTACTTAGTAATACTTCTGGCCTGCACTTCCATCATCCCCTTTTCATTTACACCAATCTGTGAAAGCCAAGCTATCGAGGAGTGCTTTTGGTGATTTACATGATTCCTAGAACACAATGTTCTTCTTTGAAGTAACATCTATTTTATTTCCATTGTTTCCTTAAACAGAGATCTCTCTGTGTGTGCACATAAGAGCAGTGGCGTCTAATGGCTTTTCCCCCACAATGCCCTCTATTTTAACCATAGCAACAAAGACTGGTTTTTCAAGCTGTGCAGTCCTTGAAAACGTTGGGCAAGGATTGTGTGTGTGACTGAGAGAAGGCTTCTCGAGTGCACACATGTTGCACAACGACCTGTGAAATAGTTCACATTCATCTGATCTTTGCTTGTGTTTGTACGGAGTAAAGTGTTGTTGTGTTAGCTGTGCTCTTTCTGCCGAGTGGCCCACAATCTTAGCTTTCCATTTGTTTCGAATCGCGATTCTGAACCGACAAATATGCAAAATTTGCTTATGACAACGTTAATTTCTGCAGTCTGTTTAAATAATCTGAATTCATAACTAAGAAGTGGTTTGAATGAATGATTAAATTACTCCCTCATATTGACATGGCTTGTTTCATTGCTATTGGATGGATAGGTTTTATTTTTAATGAATCTCTTGAGTTACGGTAATGATTCAATGAAAAATACTTTTTTTTTTAACAATTACTTTATTCACCCCATAATGGCGTAACAATATAGCCAATAAAATTGTTATTTTCGGCCTTTTTTAAACTTTCAAAAGGTGATTTACTCGGTCTCCACTTGATCCTTAAGAAATCATTCTTATATGCTGATTTAATGCTCTGTAACATTTCTTATTATTATTAATATCAGTGTTGAAAACTATTCTTAACACTTTTGTGGAAATTGCGAAATTTATTTTTTCTTTGAGGAATAGAAAGTTCAATGAACGGCATTTATTACATTTATTTATTAAATAGAAACATTTTGTGACATTTTGAAATGTCTTTCACTGTCACTTTTGATCAATTTAATGAATAAAAGTATTTATTTCTCTCTTTTTTTTTATCTTACCACAATTGTTTGAATGGTATCATTGTTTCCTAAAATGTTAAGCAGCACAACTGTTTTCAACATGATGATGATGATGATGATGATGATGATAATAATAATAATAATAATATTTGTTGATCATTAAATCAGCATATCAGAATCATTTCTGAAGGGTCATGTGACACTGAAGACTGGATATTCGGTTTTAACATCACAGGAAAAACATACATTTTACAATATATTAATTAAAAAAAAAATCATTTTAATGAGTAATATTTCACAATATTACTGTTTGATGAAATAAATGCGTATTTGGTGAGCAGAATAGACTACTTAAAAAAAAATATATATATATATATAAATACACACACATGCATATATATATATATATATATATATATATATATATATATATATATATATATATATATATACACACACACATGCATATATATATATATATATGAAGAGTTCAGATGCAAAAGCCTCTAAATGCCATTTGAAATTTTCTTCTTTAATGATGATTTTTTATCAAACTTGTATATTTAAGTTCAGTAATTTCACTTAAATGGCAATGATAATTACCTATTAATTGTTATTTAAGTGAAATTACTGAACTTAAATATACAAGTTTGATAAAAATCATAATTAAAGAAGTAAATTTCAAATGGCACTTAGAGGCTTTTGCATCTGAACTCTTCATATATATATATATATATATATATATATATATATATATATATATATGTGTGTGTGTGTATATACTGTATATGTTTCCAGACTTTTGACAGGTGCTGTATATAATTTGTTTATGCTAATAATGATATATTATATAAACATGTAGTGGTATATAATATTTAATTTATTTATGGATATATAATTTTCCTTAAATGATAGAATAGCTGTTGTAAATACGGCACGCCTTCTCTCCACCAGAGGAGAAAATAAGGCGGCACGTTCGGGCCATCTTTAGCAGCTCTACTCCACATAGACCTAGTCAGCACAACCTCTCTGCAACTCTATTCCCTCTAGAGCCAATCAAAGCCAAGCATGAGGCCGACCGTAACCGTCATAGCACTACAAGGACAAAAACTAGGGCCTCTTTAAATACTTACATCGAGGATTTAAAATGTAATATATATTGTATAAATGTTTAATGCTAATGAAATATGACCGTTAATGTTCTAGTTTATTTGTTCCACTCTTCTTCCCCCCCCAAATTCCTGGCACCTTAAACTGCACTACCCTTAGAAAAAATCTTTCATATTTATTACCATCATTTATTTGAACCATTTCTGCCATTTGTTTTAGGGCAGGTTTGTGACGCGTCATACGAGGTGGGCCACAATATCTTTGTCTTCTCTTAGCTATTTGTTAAGACAGCGTGACACACACGTTGGAAGGCGTCATTGTAATGCCACTCCCGTGAGCTCCACAAAGACATCACAGCACACTCCTCACTGCGATGTTGTCATTCGCTTACGTTAATCGCAGGCCCTTCTTTGTCTCCGCATTCCTTGAGTATCTCAGTGATGGACCGTCATGCCTGTGGTACAACATTCCCACTGCATTACAAACTGATCTCAATGCTAATATTTAGTTTTTTGCTCGATCGGCGAGATCTGATGGTTGTCTTCCACCTTTTAAGAGGCGATTTCAGGTTTTGCGTAACTATGTTTGGAATGAAAACAACATCTCATGATTTCATCATTGTCTTCACAGACTCACACCGAAAATTGGATTCCCCTGGAGCGAAATAAGAAACATTTCCTTCAACGACAAGAAGTTTGTCATCAAGCCGATAGATAAAAAAGCTCCAGTAAGTGAAACTACAACTGACACAAGCCGCCTTCGTACATCACACAGCCCCACCTAAAAATGAAGAACTGACGAGACCAGAATAAAAACTCGTTTTATTACACTCTGATCAACAAATGTTTTATCTCACACCAACGTCTAGGATTAGGTTTTTGGATGCAACGTCTAATTAAAATAATAGAAAATGTTAAAGAATGATAGTAAGAAAGTTTCAGGTCTTTTTAGGTCACTAATTGTGCGTTTGAAACATTGAGCTTTGTGAAGGGCTGTAAAGCACAAGATGCTCTTTAAAACCATTGTTTGTTTGTTTACTTTTATTGTCCCCCTTAGGGGAAACTAGTTTTGCAGCAAAAGGTAACAGAAATACAGACAATGCATAATACACAAACAATATATCATACACATCATAGTTCATATCATAAAATCTACCTTTGTGGGAATTTTTTTTCCCCATTAACTCATCAACTCACATCTACTGAACCAGGCGCTTGATCGTGTTCCTGTAGAAGACCCACTATCACAGGGTCATCAACATATTTTAACACACTGTGATCTTCCTGTTAAATAAAAATCTAAAATCCATTCAGCAACATTTAAATCGATGTTAAATTGATTTCTCTATTAACAAATGAAATGAGGCTGAATTGTATTAAAAGCAGAAGAGAAATCAACAAATAACGCCATAGGTTTTCTAGAAGCTTAGAAACTAAAGATTTAAAACATTTAAAGGAGTAGTTCACTTTTAAAAAAAACTTTTGCTGATAATTTACTCACCCCCATGTCATCCAAGATGTCCATGTCTTTCTTTCTTCAGTCGAAAAGAAATTAAGGTTTTTGATGAAAACATTCCAGGATTTTCTCCATATAATGGACTTTGAAGCTGCACTGAAACTCTCATTTGGACCTTGAACCGTTTGGTTCCCATTGAAGTCCATTATATGGAGAAAATCCTGGAATGTTTTCATCAAAAACCTTAATTTCTTTTCAACTGAAGAAAGAAAGACATGGACATCTTGGATGAGTAAATTATCAGTAAAAGTTTTTTTAAAAAGTGAACTACTTTAAGAAATGGCGTCCTCCATACCGCTACCCTCAAATAGTAATGGCTAGACTATATTTGCTGTAAAATCACTTTCCTAACTTTTTTTTTTCTTTTTTTTTTTTTATGTTTCATTATTAACAACGTGTGCACCTGGTCTAAAATCATTTAAAATCTTAGGCACGCTTTTTTTTTTTTTTTTTTTTTTTTTTGGCACATTTCTTCCATATTCTTGGTAATTTTGTTGCTTAAGAGACTCAAAAAAATGGTAAAAAAGTTCCACACAACTGTTCTGCACAGGTGTTTAACACCTCACCTCCTATATTATCAAATAATCTTTATTTTGAAAATACATTTAACCTTGTGCACATCACAATTACTACAATTTTGTTCTTTGTTTTGAATAAATGATTTCTGCACTAAAATCGTGATGATAACCTTAATTATTGAATCCTCTTGGTTTCCTTTCTCTCATTACCTTCCAAAGATTTAAATCCTTGTCATGTTGCACTTATTATTATTTTTGTCATTCAGCTGATATTCCAACTTATCTTTGCATTTGAATCTATCCTCCTTTATTTCTGCTCTCACCATATTACTAATCTCTCTAACTATGTGTGTTCTCCCATCTGAAATTGTTTTCTTAATAAAATAAAATTTGGCGTGTCTGGTGTATAAATAATCCTAAAATAACACTGTGATGATGTGACAAAAAAAAGATGGTGAAATGTGTATGGCTTTATTGTGACACACACAGTAAATCACTGTAATGCGTGTCGCAGTGCTGTTTCAGCTGATAAACACCAGCAGTCAGTCTCTGTCTTCATACAGCGTTATCTCTGAGCGTCAGCTGAGCTGCTTTTTCTTCTGTTACCACACGACTGTATCATACTAATACACAGACTCCTCAATCTGATCAAAGATGATGATTCCCAAACCCCTGCTTCTTTATATCTTGTCTCTTCCTCCTTATCTCTGCAGGATTTCGTGTTCTACGCTCAACGTCTGCGCATTAATAAGCGTATCCTACAGCTGTGCATGGGGAACCATGAGCTGTACATGCGCCGCAGGAAGCCGGACACCATCGAGGTGCAGCAGATGAAAGCGCAGGCTCGAGAGGAGAAACAACACAAACAGATGGAGAGGTGAGAATGAATCACCATGGCGATGTGAGGAGTGATCATCAGCAGATGCTGCAGGACATATAACAGACCGTGTTCTACATTTGTGTACCATATGTACATATGACTATTTCTACCACATTTATTACAACTAGAAACCGTGGATTGGCAAAGCCTGCTATTTTTTTTTTTTTTTTGCTTTTTGTTTTGGTTTCTTTTTGTTTGTTTGGTTTGCTTTTGTTTTGGTTTGAAACTGGATTAGCAAAGCCTGATTTGATTTTGTTTTGCTTTTTTTTCCTCGTTTCGTTTTGTTTCTTTTTGTTTGATTTCTTTTGGTAGTTTTATTTTGTTTGTTTGGTTGGTTTGCTTTTGTTTTGGTTTGAAACTGGATTAGCAAAGCCTGATTTGATTTTATGTTTTGCTTTTTTTTTTTTTTTTGGTTTTGTTTTGCTTTTTCTTTTAATTTACAGGATGTATCCGTGGTTGCTAATGTGTTTTATGTAGTAGCTAGGTGGTTTCTAAAGGGTTTGAGGTGGATTTTTTTTTTTTTTTGCTTTTTTTTTGTTTGTTTTTTTGGGTTTTTTTAGAGATTTGCTTTGTGGTACCTTATGATCTTCTGAAAGGTTGCTAGGCGAGTGATTAAAAATATTATGGTACTGATTTATCGGTCTCTCAAATAGCAGTATCCAACAGTGGCATTGGCTTTAGTCAACTCCTTACTTTTGTTGCTCCAAATTACTTTCCAAATGGCATTTAAGCAGTTTTATATAGAATGACCTTCTTGTTATGATTGGTTAACTAGCGGTTGCCCATCATGAGTTGAGTTACCGAATACTGAATAGATATTGATACGTAAACTTGACCGTCCGTCTCTTAAAGAGATAGTTCACTTTGAAATAATTTTTGGTATGTTTTAGCTTACCTCAAGGACATCCAAGATGTAGATGTCTTTGTTTCTGCAGTAGTTTCAATTTTGATATTTTTAGGTCAAACCGTTCTTGTCTGTCATACGATGGATGTCTATGGTCACCACCTTAAAGAGCATGCACAGAGAAGTCCAGATTAAACATGATTTAATGACTCGTAAATGTAAGTACACATTGATGGCCTAAGACACGAAACGAACGGTTTGTGTGAGAAAACGAACTGTATATATATATGGTTTGACGAAATAAATACGAAATGAGCGGCCTGTATTTATATGGTTTGATATATATTCTCACACAAACCGCTTGTTTCGTGTCTTAGGCCATCAATGTGTACTTACACTTACGAGTCATTAAATCATGTTTAATTTGGACTTTTCTGTGCATGCTTTTTGAGGTGGTGACCATAAACCTCCATTATATGACTGACAGACAAGAACGGTTTGACCTAAAAATATCAAAATTGAAAATACTGTGGAAAAAAAAAGACACCTACATCTTGGATGCCTGTGAGGTAAGCTAAAACATCAAAAATCAATTTCAAAGTGAACTATTCCTTTAATGGTTGTGATGTCATCAAGCCAACAAGATTTCTGAATAAGCCATTTTTGCAGCAGGTCAATGAGTTTTGAATTATTAACATCGGACTATGAGCGGGGCAAATTAAGTTTTGTATTATACGACCACTTTATTATGTCTCCCTTGGCAGGCTCAAGGTTCAATTTATTTATTGAGCACATATTAATACAACAAAAGTTGAGTTGACCACAGTGCTGTACATAGAATAAAATAACAATCATAAAGGTCGGTCTGAGAGATGACTTTAGTTTGTGGGTATAGAGCGGTGTCCTGAGCAAATGTTACAGCGTGTCTCTTTGGTTGTGTCTTATCTGCAGAGCTCAGCTGGAGAGCGAGAAGAAGAGACGAGAGGCCATAGAGAGAGAGAAAGAGCAGATGGAGAGGGAGAAACAGGAGCTGATGATGCGACTCTACCAGTTTGAGGAGAAGACCAAAAAAGCAGAGAAAGGTAAGAAGCCAGGGTCCAGCGTGTCTGTTTTTAATTGGACGAATATCATGTAAAATTACAGTTTGTTTTGGTTAAAACATTTTCATGTCTAATGCAAGATAAGTGTTTTCATGACTGCGTTCAGTTGTTTTGAAATGTGAGGAATCGTGTTTATGCAAGTCATAATTGGAGACGTCAAGCCAGATAGCGTCACTTTGGTCTTTTCAGTTTATGTAACCTTTTAGCTTGTTATTATATAAAGCGGAGACATTATACTTTGATCATGATGAGTGTGTTCGAGCTGACAATGCCGTTGACTGGCAATCCAAACACAAGGTGGTGTCGAACTGCACCCGTTTCTGCTGTTTGCATGTCATGTTTCTTTCATGTTTGCCACAAAGCTTTACTTTCTGATATCCAGTTGAGACTAGAATATTTGATCCAAAACGCAAACTTTCTGAATGAAAAATGATTCGCCTAATAATGTTCCTGAATCAACCATTCATGTACTCTGCAGAAAAGGCAGAAGTTATGTCAGTTTGTGAAAGACATCAAGCTTAAAGGGAATTTCTGTCATTATTTACTTCAAACCCCAGATGTCTCGTTCTTATATGGACCACAATATGAATCAGACAATGAAAGTGGATGGTGGTGACCACAGCTGACAAGCTAGAATTCAGTGAATAATTACTTAAATTTAATTTTGCTTACGAAAAATTATTCTGCAGCTTTCAGATACTGAATATAGTGCACGAGTAATACGTATGAAAGGAGTTGTTCACTTTTTTTTTAAAAAAAAAAACGTTTGCTGATAATTTACTCACCCCCATGTCATCCAAGATGTCCATGTCTTTCTTTCTTCAGTTGAAAAGAAATTAAGGTTTTTGATGAAAAAATTCCAGAATTTTTCTCCATATAATGGACTTCAATGGGAACCAAACGGTTCAAGGTCCGAAAGACAGTTTCAGTGCAAACTGCAAACTGTCCAAAGGCCTTTAAACGATTCCAGACGATGAATAAGCGTCTTATCCAGCGAAACGATCGCTC